AATGTTTTTGGCATTCCAAGAAAACCCCTATGCAGACGTTTAAATTATTATTTTAAGCCAACTAATAAGAGAGATATGCGAAAACAGAGTTTTAGGACGTCATCTTGGAACATATGCCCCTAAAAGTTGATGTAAGTAGATTTTGAGTATTGCAATGTGTTTGGCATCTGAGAAAACCCCTATGCAGATTTTTAAACCAATATTTTAGGCCAAATAACAAAAGAGTAATGAGGCAAACAGGATCTGGCCGCCATCTTGGATACGGCACTTCCGGTTCAAATTTTGATTTGGCAACACGCCGATTTGTACTCAGCAGGGTCGATATTATCCTAAAAAGCTGTTTACCCAATTGTTACATGAAACTTTTCTTGCATAGCCCTTTTTTAAAAACGAATCTTCTCCAATTGTGTTTAACTGTAAATTAATAACATTAATAATATATGGATTATTAAATTACAAATTATTAGATTTTGGTTATTAAATGATATAGAATAATTACGTTTTTGTTACCCAAGCAGCTTCAGGGTTGATTTCGGACATATTTCGTCAGTAAAAACTCAAATACAATATCCTCAACGTATATTTAATCCGTTTTAAAAGTAATATCTTTATCAAAATCTAATTTATCATTTTTTTAAACGGGATATCACTATAAGTGTAATGGAGACTCTTAAAGGAAATTTCTTCATCTTTTCAACTATAAAAGAATTATCAAAATCGGTCGAAAAACAATGGAGTTATTTGAACTTTTCTCGATCAAGGTCAAGTCAGGTGGACCGCCATTTTGGATGGCAGCCATATTGGTACTCGACCAACGCCGATCGTGGCAACATGCGTTTTCTTACTGTCCAAAGTGTCCTTGACAACAATCAAAAGAGAAAGTGCGTCCGAATAATTTTGCATACTCAACCCCAACCACGGCCTGGTCTAACTACAATTCAATCAAGGATTGTGTACCTTAAAGTTAACTCATAATGGATCTTACTACAACTTTATTTTAATACTGGGAATAGTAAAATTTAGTTGAGAATAAGTCAATAAGTTACTATGATTTAGAAAACTTTACTATTATAATTTATGTATTTAAAATCACAAATCTTTGACATTATTAATTCATTTGAAACAAAACAGCTGATCGATAAATCAAACAAATCATCCACTTCATGTGAATAATGGTGTTACACCCAGAAGCTGACAGTTTGAGTTTCTTTACATAATAATGTGGTCTCTTAAAGATATTTACACATGATTGCATTGTTAGAAGAACATATGTTTATTCCTGATTTGATTACAAAAAAATCTGTGAAATTTAGCACATACTCGCTGAATGTTGGTGGTTTGAAAGCAACCCTGTCTGTACACATCACATTTAGTCGATTCCCTTAATGAAACTGTTAAGAAGGTAAGGTTGGTTTTTTGTCATTTTGCAAAATTTCTTAAATATTATTAATGGTTAGGCTCATTATTTTTATCAATTATACCTTTGTTGACAATTTCATGATAAAATTGTGGTTTTAGGGGTTTTGGATTTAAAATTATATCAATGTCAGGCTTTGGTACACAAAAGCCATACAAGTTCCAATAGCTGACAGGGGATATTTGCTACTTGCACAATATTAAATTAGTTTTACCCATCGAAATTTGCATGCTTTTTATAATTTATGTAATCTAACATTTTTATAAAATGATTTTAATTTTTTAATTAATAAGCCAAATATATTTAAAAAATTTATATTTTTTTAAATATATAAAAAATCTAATATATAAAATTCTCGTGTCACAGTGTTTGTCTGCAAACTCCTCCGCAACGACTTCACCGATCGTTATGAAATTTGGTGTGTAAATTCTGTAGGTATGCGAATCGGACGTAAACTATTTCCCGTTTTGAAATTCTTAAAAGGGCTCCGCCCCAGTGGCTCTGGAGTTTCCCATGTTAACCTTATGAGAAATGGAATGAATGAATCTTAACAGCTGTTTCAATTAAACAAGTTGGTTCTGTTCTATGATGTTCAATAGCATTAAAGTTACAAGGATTACCAACAGGGTGCAGCACTATTATTTCTTTTACATTTATGACAACAGCTAATTTGCAACCAAAAGGTGAGTGAGCGTAGCGAACGAACTTCAACCTGGAGGCGAGTGAGCGTAGCGAACGAGCTAACCTGAAGGCAAGTGAGCGCAGCGAACGAGCTCCAACCTAAAGGTGAGTGAGCGTAGCGAACGAGCTCCAACCCAAAGGTGAGTGAGCGTAGCGAACGAACTTCAACCAGGACGTGATTGAGCGATGCGAACGAGATCATCTTGAAAATTAAACGTAACGGTACTTTCTTTCCATCGGTCTGTCTTAGGGGAAACCTATAACTTAGGCGATACGAAGTTCGCCGGGTCAGCTAGTATACATATAATCAGCTAGCTGTTTAGTAAACATAGTATGGGGGTCGAGAAAGATAAATCTCGTTGCCAGCATTGGTTTTAATAGAGAGATCCTTCCTAAGTGCAACCTGCAATATTTGTAACTTCTAATCAATTCTTAAAAATTATCTCACTACAATGTGAACATTAGGATGTTTATGAGTATGTCATATATGGTTCTTGTGAAAACTACTGGACCAATTGAACTAAAATTTTGCAGAAATAGAGCCAAGGTAATAAGGTTTTTTTATCGAAATTTTAAAAGAACTTATATGGATTAAAATAAAAACTTTATTATTAAAACTGCCACTAGCGTAGATACAAGCAAACAAAAAAATAAATTGAAAATAAAACTTGTCAATATACAGTTTAAAAAAAATTTCTCTGTAACCATTAGGGGTAAAGCAACTCTTCAATGAACTCAATTTGCAAATATACAATTAGAATAAATCAATCAATTAATAAAAATGTAAGTTTACACATGTGTAATGAATTGAAAGTTAAATGTAAACTTTGAGTAATAATTTCAATTATCTTTTTAAAATAAAATCTTTACAATACTGCAAAATATATTATATAAAAAATTACAATAGCTTCTATTTGTTTAATGTTCATACACTTGAAATTTGGCCGGAGGAAGATAAAACTAGTTGATTTTTACTTAATAATGAATTACGACCAGTGATATGAGATCATGACTCAATAAGGCGGATGAAATCATTGAAAGGTTATCATTTATCATTATCAAATTTGTTGAACTTGCATGTTACCTACTTTCCATTGTCGTGACTTATTGAACTATGAAGCTTCAAATTGCCTATGTTCTCAGAATTTAATGTTCATTTAATTATTCATTTTATTATAATAAACCTTTTAATTGGAAGTTAAGTATACTTTTTAAACTAAAAGAACTGTTCTAATCCTAAAGTAGCTATTTTTTACCAAATTAAGAATTATTTGTCATGTGAACGTTCATACAACCAGGGATACAGGGAGTATATAGAACTATTTACATTATGTGAAAACTGGAAATAATGAAAAATTTCCATATTTTTGTGGTACAAAACTCCAAACACAACTCATAACGTTTGAAAGTAATTAATTAATCTAGTAAAAAAAAGTATTTTCATCATAAAGAAGTGTGATCTGCTTTCAAAAGATAATGAAGTTAACTTTGTATTAAAAACAAGTGAAATAGTATATTTCGTACCTAGGGCCAAAAATGAGGTTTTGCCGGCTCGAGACAGTTTTTAAATCAATTGAGAGCTGCAAAACCATTTCGGTCCGTGGTACGAACGCTATTTTTCACCACACTATACCCTATTGCCACTAATTCACCACAATAATAATGCACACTAATAATCTAAACAAGAATAACTTTAAAGTTATGTGAAGAAATAATTTCAGGAATCAGCAAAAATATAAATAAATAGTTGCTAGGCAACGGTGACAATAACACAATTCTATATTGCAATGCTATGGATTTTTCACCACACTATCATGTTTTTGGCTGTATTACATACGTTAATTGGTGGCCGAAAGTTAGGTTTTGCTGGCGATGCCAGCTGTCCATAATTTGGGGACCGAGCAGGTTTTTACAGGCCGGGGCCGCAAAATCAGCTGTCCGCTTACTTACTTAAAACATGAATGCATTTTAAATACATAATCAAAATCCATAGCATTTCAATAGAATTGTGTTATTGTCACCGTTGCCTAGCAACTATATATTTTTATTTTTGCTGATTCCTCAAATTATTTCTTCACATAACCTTAAAGTTGTAGTTGTGTTGACTATCAGTGTGCATTATTATTGTGGTGAATAGTGGTAATAGGGTATAGTGTGGTGAAAAATAGCGTTCGTACCACGGACCGAAATGGTTTTGCGGCTCTCGATCGATTTAAGTTCTCGACTTCGTCTCGAACTTAAAAACTATCTCGAGCCGGCAAAACCTCATTTTCGGCCCTAGGTACGAAATATACTATTGATTGTGTATTTAATATGCATTCATGTTTCAAGTAAGTAAGCGGGCAGCTGATTTTGCGGCCCTAGGGATGTAAAAACCTGATCGGTTCCCAAATAACGATGACAGCTGGCATGGTCAGCAAAACGTAACTTTCAGCCACCAATTAACGTATGTAAAACCGCTAAAAACATCATAGTGTGGTGAAAATAATATTTAAAACTTAGAAATATTGATTCAAAATAAAGTTTGGGCTACCAATCAATTATGGTACCTAACAACATTTTGACACCATACAAAACCAGAGTTTGAGCCGTTGCCTTAAAAAAAATTAATTGCCAATTGAGTTAAAACGCACACAAAAATTACTTGTAAGTCTACTACTGTACTAGTAGGCATATCTCGATTTTAATTCCTTTTTTGCATATCTGAACAGAATAGTGAAAAATAAACAAAATCATATAAATATTGTATCTACCATGGGAAAACTATAAGAAAGATATTGTGTAGCTGTGGACCGCCATCACAGGTGGTATGTTCTATTGATTGATTTACTATGTAGATAAGCCCTATCTACATAATTCTGTTCCACACTATCGCTAACCACTAGTATGTCATTCAATTTACCTTATGTATACTTGGGGCTTTCGGGTTGGTCCCAACATCCAGAATATAAATCCTGTCGCTCCCCAAGCAAGGAATCACTAATTTATCCCTTTTCTTGCTGATGTCCCCGAAGCAACTACTGCAGCTGTTCCAACCGAAATGGTGAACTTCGTCACCAGTGTGCAGCATTTTGGTCCGGTGGATCACCTGTAATACATAAATAAAATTTGTAAAGACGGGTTGCAGAAACACCCACTGTATTATTCTAGATGATCACGGACTGGTTAACGGGTATCCACACAGTTTTGTGAAGTAAAAAATACATTTACGCTGTAAGAAGCTGTTATATTTATTTAGAGTAATGAATAAAGTGCTAGAAATGAAATTTTTTTATTTTACAAATTTTTGCTGTCTTTGGTCACATGTAACCCTTGGGAAGGGTTAAAATTGACATTTTCACAAAAGCACACACCTGGCAGTATGTGGGACTCGCAGGGTTCACGTCGACCACTGCCAAATAGTCTTGTTTGGTCGTGTCAGGCTGGACACACAGAATGTACAAGATCTCTTCTCTCGGCCCTTTCTTGATGGCATCTTGAGGTGTCTTGTAGCCTGGTCCACAGGAGCAGCACCCTTTAAATAAGTTATGAATAAATAAACAAAAACGCCTTAAATCACATGAATGTAACAGTAGTTTTTCAGAATTACTATCTTACATATTTAAAAAAAAATTTGAGTTCGTTTGGCTCTTCTATTTGACCAATTTTCATTATTGAGGTCTCAAATTGAAGGTATGCACCCAAAGATTTCACATCAAGCATCGGCATATATATATCCACTGTATTACTCGACCAACATCATAAGTTTGATTTATTTTTGAATTCTTACGGTACTTCAATTGAAGATGTATTTCACGACTTATAATTATATATAGGCTAATCCTATATATTTTGGTCTAAGAACCTTCAGTAAAATTCCGGCTTTCATTTAAGCTATTAGTTATTCAAATCGGACGAGTTTCAAGCAAACCCAATGTAAACAACCAACATAAAAATTATTTTTATAAGGTTTTTCTACAATTAAAAATCAATAGCTCCAGTGCCAGTGTTGTTTATGTTTCTATATGTTTTAGACTAAAAATAATCAGTAAAACATAGGCTTAAATTTGAATTATTATAGATCGTTTGAATCAGTTCAGTTCAAGGTACTGTATTACTCAATCAAAAATCATAAATTTGATTATTTCTCGGATATGATATTTACTTCAACGCTGGGGAGCAGCATGGGCCCTCTAGTTTTTAAGAAACTTTTTTCTAATAAAACACACACGAGGCCTACAGTACTTATATACTAGTAGTAGCCTACGCTTATTCTGCGCGTAACGGGATGAGTGAACATGAGCGCAGTAATGAAAGAGTCCACCCACACATAGCCTACTTACCGGTGTCACTGGTGAACACAATGTTATTTGTATGGGCAAATCAACCAAATCTTAGTCAACAACAATCCTAACTTCTCCTCCATTAATTAACCAAAGTCATTTGTAATATTTTTACAAATTTTTGATAACATCAGTCTGCGGAATCCTAGGCAAAGACTTTCAAACACTAATAAGAGCACTAGCTGAGAGATTGTCAGAAAAATGGGTTAAGCCTTACAGCCTGGTAGTTAATTGGATCAGAACGAGACTGACTTGCTCAATTTTAAGGGCAACAAGTATGTGCCTGAGAAGATCTCGAAAAAAATCCTGGAGATCTGCTCGAGAATTCGAAGATGGAGCAGGCATCCAACATATTTATTGAAAGAATCAAAATTTTCTTGTAATATCTGTAAATTTAGATTTATTTGTCTTGTAACTATCTATATTTGTAATATACCTAATGGATTTCCAACAGTTATCGATAGGAGGTAAATCCATCGTTCCTGTACAAAACGTCTTTTGATTAAATGAAGCCTATTTCCATATTTGTTATGAGGCCTATCATAAACAAAACCAAGCCAAACTGAACTAATCTAACTTAAAAGCACGGTGTAAGGAATCTCCTAAAAAATATTGTATGGCTTACAATGATGATTTAAAACAACGATATCGTAATTATATCATCTAAAAATGATTAAAAATCCAATATATGTTTATCTAACTAATGAATCTAAATGCCATAAACGGTTCCCACACTCCGCATTTCTTGCCTTTACCACTTCCATCACCACTACCTACGTCGTGGACCTGGTTCCCTCCCTTCCCTCAGCATTTTAGTATTGAATGTACATTAAACTACCACAAACTCTTCCCACATTCAGAACTTCTCACCTTTACCAAATCCTTCCCTACTTCCTAGGACGTGGACCTGTTTTCCTCCCTTCCCATAGCCTTTTGGTATTGCAAATGCATTAATCTAACTGCCATCAACGGCTCCCACACTCCGCACTGCTCGCCTTGACTACTTCCTTCACCACTTCCTACGTCATGGACCTGTTTCCCTCCCTTCATTTACCATTTTATTATTGCAGATACATTAATCTAACTGTCACAAAGGGTTCCCACACTACGGACTGCTCGCCTTGACTACTTCCTTCACCACTTCCTACGTCGGGGACCTGTTTCCCTCCCTTCCCATCGCATTTTAGAATTGCAATTATATTAATCTAACTAATTTCGACATCATAAGATGTGGGATTGCCCCTGAACTGGTTATAATCCTACTAATATTATAAATGAGAAAGTTTGGATGTATGGATGTATGGATGTATGGATGTATGTTTGTGACAAGTGAACGCGAAAAATACTGGTCGGATTGGGCTGAAATTTGGCATGATGATAGCTCACATTCCCGATTAACATATAGGCATATTCTTATTTCAAAAATCCTTTCGGGCTCCGCCCCAGTGGCTCTGGAGTTTCCCATGTTAACCTTATGAGAAATGGAATTATTGAATCTTAACAGCTGTTTCAACTAAACAAGTTGGTTCTGTTCTATGATGTTCAATAGCATTAAAGTTCCAAGGATTACCAACAGGGTGCAGCACTATTATTTCTTTTACATTTATGACAACAGCTAATTTGCAACCAAAAGGTGAGTGAGCGGAGCGAACGAACTTCAACCTGGAGGCGATCGAGTTAGCGTAGCGAACGAGCTAACCTGAAGGCAAGTGAGCGCAGCGAACGAGCTCCAACCTAAAGGTGAGTGAGCGTAGCGAACGAGCTCCAACCTAAAGGTGAGTGAGCGTAGCGAACAAACTTCAACCAGGACGTGATTGAGCCATGCGAACGAGATAATCTTTAAAATTAAGAAGTTAAACGGGGCAAAGCCCGCGGGTTACAGCTAGTAACTAATATAATGGTTTAAATACCTTCAGTCACCAGTTCAAATTAGTCGGCTATTGCGACCTAGGTTTCGGCACGAAGTTGTACCATCATCAGGCGGGCCAGTTTTGAGTCTTCAGTCCAATGGACGTCGTTGAGTTAAAACAAATATACAGTTCACGACATACAGTACAAACACGCACACGAACACATATAACGAATAATACCGGTATTTACAGAAGGACGACATTATTGTAAGTTCACCGGCCGCGACGGGTGACATCCAAGCCACAACTAACTGGAACGTTCAAGTGGTCTATCTGACCTTTGTCCTCGGTATTGTTTTGAGCTATGTCTAGTAGGATGCGTTAGTGTTGCTTGGGTTTCAATTATTTTGTTAAAAATTAAATTGGAGCTGTGGTGGATTTGGTCGTTTAGTAGGTTGTCGGCATCTACTTTTAACGATTTGTAGATATGGAACTCTTCTAACGTGTCCAATAAAAATCCTTTCTTACAATAACTGAGAATGGAAACGTTCTCATCTAATTTTCCCATTCTATGGTCATTCTCAATTATATGTTGGGCGAATGTGGATTTTTGTTGGGTGAAACGAGGGTTTGGTTTATGTTCTTTTAACCTGGTTGCAAATGATCGACCTGTTTGGCCGATATAATAACTTTCGCAATCACCACATTTTAACTTATACACTCCAGTTTTAGTCAGTTTCTCATTCTCGCTAGGAGGTTTATTCGCAGTTATAAGGCGTTCTAATTTATTTGAAGTTCTAGGGGCGGGTAGAAGATTGTGTGGTTTTAATTCCTTATTTAATAGGTTATGTAATCTAACTTTATCTAACTGTCACAAAGGATTCCCACACTCCGGACTCCTCGCCTTGACTACTTCCTTCACCACTTCCTACGTTCTAGACCTGTTCCCTCCCTTCCCATAGCATTTTAGAATTGCAGATACACTAATCTAACTGTCACAAAGGGTCCCCAAACTCCGGACTGCTTGCCTTGACCACTTCCTTCACTACTTCCTACATCGTGGACCTGTTTCCCTCCCTTCCTTTAGCATTTTATTATTGTAGATAAATTAATCCAACTGTCACAAAGGGTTCCCACGCTCCGGAATGCTCGCCTTGACTACTTCCTTCACGGCTTCCTAAATCGTAGACCTGTTTCCCTCTCTTTCCATAGCATTTAAGTAATACAGATATATTAATTTAACAGTCAGGATTTCTCTTTTAACATCAAGGATTTCCACACTCCGCACTGCTCATCTTTCCGCTTCCTTTACCACTCTCTACGTCGTGGACCTGTTTCCCCCCCTTCGCATAGCATTTTAGTATTACTAACATCTTTGAATATTTAATATTCAATGCCAACATTAAATTGAATAATGTAAAAAGCTGCTTTGTTCTAAATATATACATAGGCCTATATATATTTTTTTAATTTAAAGGTAAATTTTAATACTGAACATAAACGGTATATAACTACCGACTAATATTATAAAGTTCAATTTATTATTCAGAAAGTTGTGAAATTGAATTAACTTAAATAACATTATTCTGAAAGCTGTGAAATTATAATGATATATATTCATAGACGCCAAACTGTTTACTCCATGAATTAAATAGCTTAGAGTAAAAGTCGTTCTCTCTGTCTTAAGTAGACAACAAAATTGTCGGTCACAAAACGTAAACAAATAAAAAGAACTTTTTTTTTAGCGAATTTCCCTATAGAGAAGTAGCTATTACCGTAGGTCTCATGGTAAGACCTAAGCCCGGGACCGATTTACTTTTTCATTTTGATGTCCCCAGAGGCCAAAAACTCCATTCGTTCAAATTTTTATATATCTATATATAGATATATATCTTACTAATATTATAAATCTGAAAGTTTGTGAGTTTGTGTGTATGTTTGTGTGTGTGTTTGTGTGTGTGTTTGTGTGTGTGTTTGTTGCTCAATCACGCATAAACTACTGGACGGAATGGGCTGAAATTTGGCATGATGATAGCTCACATTCCCAATTAACATTAAAGCATGTTCTTATCTCAAAAACCCTTTTGGGCTCCGCCCCAGTGGCTCTGTAGTTCCCCATGTTAATCTTATGATTTTTCATATTTAAAAGGAATTAATGAATCTTAACAGCTGTTTCAATTAAACAAGTTGGTTCTGTTCTATGATGTTCAATAGCATAAAAGTTACAAGGATTACCAACAGGGTGCAGCACTATTTTTTTTTTTTTTTAATTTATGACAACAGCTAATTTCCAACCAAAAGGTGAGTGAGCGTAGCGAACGAGCTAACCTGAAGGCAAGTGA